AACCGTTGTAAAAACTTATACATGTTTTGGATTGTATGTATGGAGAAAATTCGACGCGAGCGCACCCTAAGGGTGGTCGGCGGAGGTGTATGATGATCGAAGAAATTTTCAATTAAAAATAATACTTAGCTTTATTAACGACCGGTAGGTGTAGTCGGCGTGTTGCGATGTTCGAGAGATGGCTTGACGTGTCGTTGGCGATGAAGTTTTTCGGTCCTCGAGCTTTCCGGCCTGTCGCCATGACGGTGGTCGTGATTATCGTTGCGCCGTTCTTTGCGGCGATCATTATTGCGACGTGGTCTGGTGGTCGAGGTGGTCGGAGCTCGGTGGAGCCGCTCGAGACGTGGTCCGTGGTCGACGTGGTCGGAGCTCAGCGGAGCCGCTCGGGACGTGGTCGACGTGGTCGGAGCTCGACGGCGAGTCGGTGGGGTGTGGTCGGCGAGGAGCTTCTCGTAGTACTTGTTGTAGTTGTGCTTAGCGCGCAGTTGATCGACCGAGGCGATGATGTTTTCTGATCGGCGACGATGGAATTGCCCAATCCTTGAACTTTCCTACCGATCGTCGTAGCGGCGGTCGCGGTTGTCACGGCGGGTGGTCGGAGTCGATCTTCATTACGACGTGGGAACAGAGCATGGGCAAAGGCTCCCGAGTCCGATGCTGCAGGTCTTGGCCGCGTCGACGTCGGATCAAGAGGATATACATCGGCAACAAGCAAGGGAAATCGTGGTTGCCTGCTTAAGGTGTACGATATGCATATACGCCGCATCAATTTTAATTAGCTTTCATGCCTTTAATATAGTACTCTTTCCTTCTTCATGGCTAGACGTGCATGGCGGGTGCATCGAGACCGGATTCTTGGGAACCACCGATGAGCATCAAGAAGTTTAATGTAGACGACGGGGTCCTCTAACGCCGGGTTGCCGCAGCAGATGCCGGCGGCGAGATCGACACTTGTATTGAGATCAAGATGTAGATGAATTCTACATGCATGCGTGCATGCAGATGTAGATATATCAAAATCCGGATCGCGTGGCCCTTCACGAAGGCATCTTTGGATGTGTACGCCTCGTCGGGCGCGGCTTCGAAGTGTGTCACGGCCAAGTCCGATCTATCGGGCTGTCCCCTCGCTTCTTCGGATTAGCCGCGATCGCGTTATTTATCGCGACGATTGTCGCGGTTGTCTTGGTGATTATCGTCCCGGATATCACGACGGTTGTCCTCCCGACGGCGGTTACCACCGTCATGGCCACCGTTTCCGCCTCGATGGTTGTCTGACGGGTCGTTGTTGCGCGAGCCACGTGGGTTGAGTGGCTGTGAGCGGCTTGGAAGCTGGCGACTGTGGCTTGACTCGACTGAGACGGATGGAGCTCGGACTTGATTTACAATCTCTGCGGTCTGGGCCATGGCAGCCGTCAGATAGGCTTGTATTTCATCGCGAACCGCTTGGGTTTCCGGGGTGTTGGGTAGCCGTTGCATTGTTGCCATGGCGACGGCTACATTAGCACTTGGAGTCCTGAAGACCTGTTTGTCCCCCACCCTGTCGAAAGCATCGTTGAGGTCGCGTGGCTGGACCCTGATGCGTCGCGCCTCCTGGTCTGCTTTGGCTTCGATTTGCCGGCGATTGAACCGGTCAATATTGCGCGCTTCGCGCGTGGTCTTTTCTTGTTCTGTTTCGCCAACCGCTGGTGATTCGTCATTGCTAACAACATGGATCAAATCCCCTCGTCTTGGCGGGAAAGATGGGAATTGTGAAAACCCTGGAGCATGGTCTGGCAGATCTAGATCGTACTTGGTGCCGTCGTCTTCGTGATGCTGAAGCTCGGTGTGTACAGATGCTTTAGATGCGATGCCAGACGAGGAGGTGGAGTCGCCCTCTTGAACTGTGTGGACGGATCCTTCCTGATAATCTTCAGTCCGGATCATGTTGACGAAGTCGCGCGGCTTCGGCCGAGGTCGGTGCATAAAACATAGATCCAAGCAACGTTGTGGGTTATATGCGTAGCTGGAGGCAGCGTTTCGCAGGCCGTAAGGCTGGACCTGGTGGTTCTCCGTCGAGGCTGCGTACTCAGAGAGCTAGAGACCCGTCGCGGAGGCTGGTCGGCGATGAGCGGAGAGCCCTTCAGGAGTAGATAAGACCACGAGATCTGTACCAAGTCGTGCAGGACGACTGGTCCGAGCTGGTCGGGTAGATCTGTTGTGGGGAGCGGTTACCTGCTCGTTAGGTTGACTTTGAATCGTACTTACCAGAGCTAGGGTTTCAGCCAGTTTGGTGCCGACCCGATCGATGGAGTTGAGCAGGTCGGTGTTGTCGATCTGCTTCCCTTTGTAGCGGGGGAAGCGAACGACGAGTCGTCGGCGTGGCTGAAGATGATGTAGGCGTGGTCGGAGCCAGATGTACCGTGGTCGGAGCCAGATCCATCGTGGTCGGAGCCAGACGTACCGTGGTCGGAGCCCGATCCATCGTGGTCGGAGCCAGACATACCGTGGTCGGAGCCAGATCCATCGTGGTCGGAGCCGTAGCCGATGTAGGTGAAGCAGTGGTCGACGCAGACTGAATCCACGCCTCCTCCGTGGTCATGACGATGAAGCCGTCGGAGCCGGTGGTCCAGGTGATCTGGCCGATGGTGAACGTGAGGCCGTTCGGCGTAGCCATGGAGCTGGAGGTGATGACCGTCTTGTTTGCTTGGAGAGCAGTACGCACACCCCCTACCTGGCGCACCACTGTAGACGAAATATAGTCGGCAGTCTACCTAGGGGTATGCCCAAGGTAGTAGATTGTTGGCAGACAGATGCGCAAGCCACAAACAAGACGGTGACGCAAGACTGACACGAGGTTTTATCCAGGTTCGGCCGCCAAGAAAGCGTAATACCTACGTCCTGCGTCTGATTGTATTGCTGTATGTTAATGAGAGATGTTTTTTAGAGGGATCCCCTGCCCGCCTTATATAATCCGGGGGCAGGGTTATAGATCTGGAAACTAATCCTAGCCAGTTACAATTGCCATATGTGGCCGGATAAGGATTCCTATTCTAACCGACCAGGATCCTGCTTGATCGCCAAATCCGTCTTAACTCCTTGCGCAGGACTCCAACCAGGTTGGCTAGGCCGCGCGTCGTCTTTCGGATGGACCGGACCCATCGATCCGGGCCGGCCCAAGCTTAGCCGTAAGGGTATAGGGGTTAATACCCCCACAGTCATAGATAGGGAATGGATGTACAAAACATTGAGGCTGGATCTATCTTACCTGGATCATGTGAGAAAGTTTGTTACCGCTACAAAAAAGCATCGTCTGAGTCTGAATCGGGAGCGCATCATTTGTCCGTGCAATAGCTGCAAAAACAAGCTTGCCTAGGAAGATAGCATGGTGCAATCTCACTTGATGCGGTATGGTTTCGTCAAGGATTACACCGTCTGGAAGTTTCATGGCGAAGCAGATCTGAGTGTCGTCGGTGCATCTGGTGGAAACTCGTCGACGACATCGACGGTGAATGCAGAATATGACGGAGGACAACAATCCTCTTCAGTAGCAGCAGCAGCCGATGGGCACGACACTACTGCTAGCGACAATGCAAATTGTTATTATATCACGATGGATGATCTGCTCCAAAACATGGCAGACGACAACGGTGGTTGGGATGGTGAGCTCGAGGATGCGGAGCTTTTTGAGGAACTTGCTAACCGTCTCGACCACGATAACGTTCTATTTGGGTCCCCGAGGTGGCTTGACAATTTCAGAGAGATGAAGCAAGATGCAATTGATCCCCTCTATAAGGACTGTCCGAAGGACTGGACGGCGCTGCGTTTTAACCTCCGGATGATGACACTGAAGGCTCGCCATGGGTGGTCCGACACTAGCTTCAACGACCTGTTACGTATCCTTGCTTTCACATACCCAGAGGGTAACAAGGTGCCCGCCAATACCTATCGGGCGAAGAAGCTGATCCGGCTAGTGGCGATGAAGCTTAAAAAGTTTCACGCCTGCCCTAACCATGGATCCTGTATCGGGGCAAGTATGAGAACTTGCAGAGCTGTCCGCACTGCGGCGCGAGTTGGTACAAGAGGAATGACAGTTGACGAGGGAGCCTCGAGAGGGCCAAAGAAGAAGAAGACGTCCAAGAAGAGTAGTGCGAAGCAGATCCCGTCTCCTGAGGACGAGGAAGAAGAGGGTTACACGCAGAGGAAAAATCCTACCCTGTCGATGTGGTACCTGCCCGTGATCGATCGCCTGCATGCTATATTCGGGAACCTAGAGGATGCCAAGCTGATGTCCTGGCACGCATCTCATGAGCGCACGAAGGACGATGGCAAGCTATGACATCCAACCGATGGCAAGCAGTGGAAACGTTTCAACGACAAGTTCTCGGAGTTTTGCAAAGAGGCGAGGAACGTCAGGTTCGCGCTGAGTACCGACGGGATGAATCCGTTCGGTGACCTCAGCAGCTCGCACAACACTTGGCTGGTCATCCTCACCATCTACAACCTACCTCCCTGGCTATGTCAGAAGTGCAGGTATCTTTTACTAACCATGATTATTTCCAGACCGAGGCAGCCCGGCAATAATATAGATGTGTTTCTGGAGCCGTCCATGGAGGACATGAAGAAACTATAGGAAGAAGGGGTCAAGATGATGGATGCGTCCCTAAAGGAGAAGTTCACTCTAAAAGCCATTATCTTTGTCACCATCATCGATTACCCTGGTCTTTTCTTCAGTGTCGGGGCAAATCAAAGGTAAGTCCGGTTACGTAGTTTACATAACGGTACCTCCTACATTTACCTTAATGCATCAAGAAGATAAGACGGTGTACACGAGGCGTAGACAATCCCTCGTCGAAAAGCACAGGTTAAATTGCACGCATGCTGGATGGAGATTAGAAGGGGGATGTGGTACATCGTTTTGAGGGCAAGAACGCGGACACAGACGTTGGGCGATGGTTGTCACAGGCGGAAGCCGAAGCGCAGGAAGAAGAAGCAGAGCGTGGCGAGGACGACGGCGGACTCGATCACCCACAGCAGGAGGAAGACGACGCTCTCGTACAGGCGGCGGAGGAAGTCGACGCGCGGGAGGCCGGTGGCGGCCCGTGCCCGTGCCTCCGCCGGCGCAGCGCGGCGGACAGCGCGCGGACGCGCAGCGCCCACCGCGGCGACTGCTGCTGGCCGCCCGCGCCCGCGGGTGTCCCGGCCACCGCCGTCGCCATCTTCTTCCGCAGCCACTCCCGCTTCATCCCGCCGGCCATCGGTTGGTGGAGCGACCGATCGATCAGCTGGTGCTGCCGCCGCCGAGAACGAGCTCTCTGCTTCGACCTGATCCTGTCCTTGATCAAACGCTAGGCGAGGCGAGGCTACTCTGTCCACAGCTTTTTATGTTGGATTGGAGGGAGGTCGGATCGTGACGCGTTCTTGCAACCGCGTGTTGACGAATCGTTGGAGCATGAGTTTCGACATATTCTTGGATATCATATCGGAGTGGTTGAGATCAGGCGGCAAAAGACCGAACAGGTCAGGTCAAACTGTAACATGGGCCAGGGTGCAATGCTAACAAGACCGGCAGTTTCCTGGGAAGATGGCATGCTGTGCTGACGACGGCGCGACCTTGGCTTATGCAGTGACCTCATGCAAGCAAGAACAAGGATAGTGGGAGTGGGTGAGACGAAAAAACATTTGGTGGGAACGGTAGGTTCAGGACATGTGTCCACGGACAGGTATCTAACGCGAGGCGAGATTGTTACTTAAATTTAGAAGAAATAATTAATAATAAAACTATATTCTTCTCATGTGTTAGATGTATATATGCATGGACACGTGTCATGAATACAAAAACAGATGTCCATAACTACTCCACATCATCTCGAACTCCGGATCCACCAAAACATGGATCTAGCATCCAGATCCATGAAGCTTCTCAAGGGGTGCTCTGAAAACTTTTGTTTTGTGGAGTTGGAAGAAATCCTCCACCATGCAACCGGTTCGCCTTTTCTTTTTACGTGTCTTCCCATCGCGCAGCCCTCCCTGGCGTCTCTTCCCATCGTGCAGCCCTCCCGTGGTGCACGGCTCCACCCTAGCCACGCCATGTTCGGTACAGTATGGCCACGGCCGCTCCCGTCCCCGTCGCGCCTCAGCCTCGCAGTGCTGCCCCCTTAACCCCATGCCCGGCCCCTATCACTCTACGCCCGACCCAGTTGTGGTCGCGCCAGACCCCTCGCCCCCGCCACGATGCCCTCCCCGACCCTGTGCCCGGCCAAGCCATGGCCACACTCTGCCTTGCCCAAGCCATGGCCGCGTGGGGCGGTTCCAGTAGGCGTGGAGGACGACGACATGGAACTACATTGTCTTTTTTATTTGAGTCCCTGAATAATCTTTTATAGTTGCCTATGAATTCAGATTTCATGCTAGCGCTCTTCGAAACGGAGCTTAGATTTATTGTGTAGCTACTCTATGGTAAAGCAGGTGCACTGGAGTTGCTTTTGTGAAGCCGAGGCTCTTCCAAACTAGCACTAAGCACAAGTGCACTTATGTAGGAGCTCTCAAATCAAATCATGCCCTATTTTGAGGGATCGAGTTGGAGTTGGAGGGGACACCAAAGATCATAACCGTCGCTGTGTATATGAGTCTATCTGTACAAGGGCAGGCAACACCGCAACACTACTGCCAGTGACTGCCAGAGGGCAAATGCACAGCGTCACTGGTCTCCATCCTGCTCTTCAGAAGTTCAGATCTGCCAGTGTACATGTACGTATCCTCTGTAGAGTCTCTGCTGCATCGGTACATGCTTGTCTCGGGCTCTCGGCTCCACCTTCAGGCTTTTTCAAGACATCACGGTGACGGTCGGCACCTGATGAGCTGCCATTCTGCAACCGAACGTGCGTCGGAGGCAACGCGGCGGCCTGGAACTATTGTTGCGTGTGCAGGTTCAGCCGCTCACCGTCAGTGACAGTGCTGCGGTCAGGAGGCACGTCGTCGCCAGCGACACGACGGCCGTCGTCGTCTTGCGCCCGGGCAGTACCCTCACGGCGGCGCTGATGTTGACGCCGTAGTCCGGCGGCGACATGTTCCCGTACAGCGGAGGGGAGTTGCCGTACCCGGCCGGTGGAGAGCTCCCGTACCCGGGCGGAGACTCGTAAGTTGGCGTCAGCGGAGTCGACGTGTTCAGGACCGAACCACCGGTGCTGTCAGTTCACCAGAAACGGCAGAAATCAGCACATGTACCTATGTTCCTGTATTTCTTTATCTTTAGAGTAAAAGTTTTTTTTTCTTTTGGCTTGAGCTGGTAGAATTTACCTCGTTGCTGGATACTGACACGTCGAAGTACCTGCGGATGCAGTTGCAAACAGAGAAGCGAATGAGTGAACATCTATGCGGATTGCAGAACAAGAACTTGCTTTGATCTTGATGTGTTCAGGGGTGGAGAGTTTACTTGGGTTGGCGGTGGTGAGGACGGCGGTGCCGGCGAAGTCGCAGCTGGTCTGCACGGGGTTCTTCTGGTAGTAACTGTTGAAGGCGTAGGACGCGTGGTCGCGGACGGTGTCCGGGCTGAAGCAGCTCCCGCCCTGCTGGATGGCGGAGCAGTCGGCGCCGCCCTGCCCGCACGCGTAGTCCAGCGCCACCTGCAGCGCCGTCGCGCTCGCGCTGGGGCTCGCCACGCACCAGCTCCCGCCACCAGCGCCAGTGGGCAGCGACGGTGCCGCCGGCGTCTCGGTGGGCATCGCCACGGGCGTCGCCGTCGGGTTCACCACCGGGACCGTGGCCAGGGGCGACGTCACGTCGCGCTCCAGCCTTTTTGTCGCGACGCCGGCCGCGTCCTCGGCTGCTCCCTGCAGTTCGCTTCCTCCCTCTGCAGCGTGAACCAAACCAAACCGTCATCTTCTTTTTCAGCAGCGCCTGGATGAACTAAAGCTCTCGTCTTGTGCTTAGTTTGATCTCCTCCAGTATTTGGACGCTGATTAGTAAGCAAAACAAACAATAGAAAGCAGATGTTTGTTTGGTACTTCTGGTTAATAGTCCTGATAAAGTGTGTGTTTGTCTGTTGCTGCGACGCACTGACATGACACTCTGCTCGTCAGTTTCAACAACTGAATAAACTGACTAAACAAGCAGTCAAAAGACAATGAGATCTCCAACCAAAAACCATCCATCTTTGGTGTTCAAACCGAAGCTGGTTGTAGCATGGAACGCAGATACATGACAGCTAACAGTATCAGCAGGCAAGACAGCAGCAGGCAGTAGAGTAAGTAACTCACCATGGCACAAGAGGAGGACAAGAAGAGACGCCAAGCCATGGACTGGCCTCAGAGCCATGCCAAGCTTGCTCAGCTCTCAGCTCTGAGCTCTGGCTCCCAGCGAAGCAGCGCTTACTAGTAGTAGCCGGCAGTGGTGTGCTGATTCAGGAACGAGTGTGTGTAAAGCGAGCTAGCCAGCTGCTGCTGCTATCACTCTTCTCCTACTCACTGCATCTGCAGAAGCTGCTGGTGTGCAGACAGACCAGACGCATGCTTTCTTCAGTACACGAACAAACAGAATCACAGGTCTGGCCGGGGAATAAGAGGAAACTTGGGCAGGCAGGCGGCCTGGTCAGGACAGGAGGCTTTGACGATATGGTTAACAGTACAGTAGTGAGCAAATAGATTAAGCGAAAGGAGCGGGAAAGGAAAAAAAAAAAAGAGAAAGGTTGGGTGAGTTGGGACTTGGGAGGCGAAGGCGAAAGAAAGAAATTCTGTGATGCGATGTGGGGGGTGGGGGCATTGCACTGCACTGCACTGCCTTCATCTTCATGATGGCTTATTAGCCGCCATGATGAGGAATAGATTCCCGTTTGGTGCACCCGGATTAGAGCGAACATTTCTTTTCTTTTCTTTTCTTTTGTTCCAGATTCGTACGGGATAGAATGCGATCCCCTCTTTCCTCGTACAGTACCAGTACGTGCTGGTTTGTTCAGACAGACGTCGAGGTCACCGTTTCCTGACGATGCCGATGGTGTGCACGGCGCCAGCAGTGATATGATCTGACCCCTTTTACCTGTCGATGCATCGGGCTGGTCTGACCGGTCTGGATGGAGTTTGAGATAAGCCGATAAAGAAACAGGAGGAGATGAGCCTTCAACTTTCTATCTGATGCTGCTTGCCTGCCTGTGCCTCTGCCTGTGCCTCTGCCTCTGCTGCCTCCAACACTAGCAACTTGTTTGAAATTTCTTTTTTAAGACAATTGCAGAAAGGAGAGTTTGAAAATTCAGGTCCACGTCTAGAGGCTGGCAAACAAGCGTGTTTGGCTGGTAGACTGCACAGTGAATTTCGGATAGTTCAATAGTGATTCATGAGAGAGAATAAGCTAAAACAAGCCATAACATGACCAGCCGAACGCGCTTAAAAAGCCGCTGCCGCCGCATCCTCCCTGCTGATCTCGGGATTGCTGCTAATTCGAACACTAAAGGCTGGAAGGCAGGTAGGCCAAGGCCAGACTGAACAATGGATGCTTGTGGCCCGCGTCTTAATCAAAAAGTATGTGCTCACTGCTTTACCTCCGGAACTGGGCACGATAATTGCTAGTTGAAAAAGGCCCATTTTTATCTTCTTCAACTATTGGTGTGGTATAATTTTTCTACTCAAACGTTAAAACAAGTCATCATGCCCTTCAGAGGTGGTCTTCAAAATGGCTGTCGCCCTTTTTAAGTCAAAAGATCCGGAAAACACATAATAAGATTGTTTAAACCGAGAAAAAGGTTTTTGAGCTTCTAAAAATTTCAAAAGAAAATGCAAATATAGATTGACCAATCCAAATAAAATATCTAGAGCTCTTTAGAAGCTTCTAAAAAATGATTTTAGCTCTAGAAAAGTAGGGAAAATAAATCTAGAAAATTCTTAAAGCATTCTAATTGATGTCTAAACATGTTTTGATAACATTTTAAATTTACATGATATGCAACCATCATGAATGGATTCATCATTAAATGTATGTTGCATTTTTTTTGCTGGTTGTATTTCATGTTTATGTTGTGCAAAATTTGTAGAGTGCATTTGTACATCGATTAGAATGTCTTGGGTTTTTTTTCAGATTTTTCTTGATATCGTTCGCATTTTCATGTGCTCTAAAAGCTGCTGATGCCACATCCTCCTGTGCTATTCTACTGAAGCAGAACTGGGCCAGATGAGAAAAATTGAACAGGGCAGGCACGACGATTATTGGGCTCCACTGGTGCTGGTACTTTCTCCTCGGCCTATAAGAGTAGGTGCATGGGTCACGGCCT